CATTTTACTCAAGAGTACTCAGTCACCCAATAGGGATAAGAACCAACAATTAACTCATCGCACAAGTAATGTGCTAGAGAGCATTATATCTATTGATTTGTTTGTTTAATATATAGAATTATGTGTGCAGAGGTATGGTCTGTTCTCATTTTTGCTGATGGTTGCATTTAAAATATGCTGTTTGTTTAGGGGAAAAATTAATACCCACTTAGTAATGGCTATTTCCCACTATAGCTATCATTTCCCCTCGAAACTTTTTCCAGGTTTTCAGTATTTTTACAAGACAATACTGATTTATTTTGATATTTCCTAGCATTTCAGTCTCTTTTTGTTGTTGTTGTTGTTTTTGTTTTAATTAGAGATAGAAAAATAAGACCAAAAACTTGTTGCATTTTAAACAGTTTATTTAAAATATCTGGCTTTAATACCATCTGTATTCAGCAAACTTTGTGTTAAACAGCTTGAACCTAACAGCTGTACAATAATTTTACACTGTTATCTTATACTCCAGTCATGTTATCTTTGACTGGATATTAAAATTGTAGATTAGTCATACACACTGAATTTTGAGTTATTGTACATGGGCAAAAATGGTCTTCAACACACATACACATATGCAGTTGACTAATACCACTGAGTAACAAGATCTTGGTGTTACCACGGATAATTCTATGAAAATATCATTTCAGTGCTCAAGGTTATTTAAACAATGCATCTGCTTCAAGGATAGACTGTGCAGTTCTAGACCCTTAGTGTCAGAAAGGATCTAATAATACCAGAAAACTTGAAGAGGAAAGTAATGTGGATGATCAGATACATGAACCTGGTATCTCTGAGAGTAAAGACTAAATAGATGAAGATTTTGGTCTACTAAGAAAACTGAGAAAGAGATGTGACCTCTACGAGGGCTACAAGATCTTGAGTGCCCTGGAGAACTTGAGTAGGGAATGAGAGTCTAGTATTTTCTAAAGAAGACATACTTGTATACAAGTCTCGTATTGTGCTGCTTTTGCAGAATTAAGTTCAGGGTTGAATTTAACAAGGCTTAATAGCATGGAATCTGCTTCAATCTCGTTAGTCTTGCAAAGATTTATAGTGGCAGCATTCCTTTGGTGAACCATAAATAATAAAAATAGCTTTTAAATAATTTTATTTAAAGGCTAATGGTTCCTCTTTGGTATGTCTCAGTTAAAACAGTTTTAAAATGGATTCGGGAGAACAATTTAAAATAAGTCTTGTGAAGATAGACTAGCTACCCAAGTGAGTTATTCAAAAGAAGCCGTTCAAGGATATTTCTTCAAACAGGCAAACCAATGAATGTTAATTAAATCCAAGATTAAATGCTACAATGTCTCTCATTGCTTGTCCAGTTTTGTAGGTCTTCAATGTCATAATAGGTGGTTTCCCAGCTCCATTTAGTAAAGGACATGACAGCTAGACTTCTTTAACTCTGCTACACTTATATAGCCTGCGTACCTCATTACAAAGGTTGTCAGGTACTACAAAAGGATTAGGGAGATACAATTCTTGCAGAGGAAACCTAGATGTACTATTTTCCTTGTAACCTAGTCAGGAGAGGTCATTTGCAGCCTAAAGGACTGTAAAACTTCCTAAGGGAAGATGAAGCTGGAATCTGCCAGTGCTTACAAGTAGGAAGTAATGGCATATTGCCTTTATTTGAGAGTTTAACTGTTTCAATTTAGTGGAAAACCTGAATTTTGTGAGAGCAACAGCATATGCCCATGTTATTGGTGGTGAAAGACCATGAAATCCATTTTGCCAGTTATAAAAATCCACTTTTAGGTGACATGTAACATTCTCTTCCACAGAAATACACAATTTTGACCATTTTACAGTTCTGAAAATGTTACTGTTTTCAGTTGCAGTGTTCATAGAAGTAACTGAGAAAAATAAAAGGTGTAAACTGTGGAATGGCTTGATAATCTAATCTACATATTTAAGTATGTTTTGTGTGCTTGGTTGGTTGGTTTTTGTTTGTTTGGGGTTTTTTGTGTGTTTTTTTGTTTGTTTTTTAATGCAGTTGTATGGCTGCTACATTACAGGGCTTGACAGTCCTAGAGGTCCCTTCCATCCTTCTTATATAGACAAGTCAATTGAATATAAGAGTCTCTGGTGAGCAGTGTAGTTAGGGATGAGAACAGAGTGCACCGCTCATTCAAATCAGAGATCTATAATCCTCTTCTGTGACTTTATGCCAGGAGGAAAAATCTGTCAGTCTTCACTGGGTTAGAAATGGGCTGTTGTAAACCTTCATCAACTCAATACCTTTATGGGTTGCTTTGGTTGGCAGTTTTGGCTTATGGACACACAAACTATTCCGATGCATGCAGCATGATTGTAATTCTTCTTCCTTCTCCATGGTTTTTCTACCTTTTTCAGAAAATCCCAGTTGAAACTGTTACATATCTAAGTACCTCTATTTTTTTTTTTTTCAAGTTCTCAATAAATAATTTAAGCTCAAATACTGCTTTGTCTTAAAATTTGAGTGTAGCAATCTTAAAAAAGCACAGTTATGAAGAAAACAGTTTAACTGGCTTTCTATTTAAGTCACAAACTAATATTAATATATATACTTTCTAGTTAAATTTCCAAGTAATGTTAAAACCCAAGTAAGTGCATTATATTAACATTGGTAAGCAGTCACAGTATCAAATTGTGTTTCTTTATGTGATTCCTACTTGATTTTCATAATATTGTTAATAAGCTAGTATATGAAACTTGCATTTGCATGCAAGGTCAGAAGGGCACACCTTATCAAAGTTTACACAACTTCAAATATGTCATCAATTAAATGTTTTCATTTTCAAGAGGGCACAGGCATTTGAATGTAATAAATTCTAAAAAACATTATATGTGGGTATTTTCTGAAAATTCCTAGGGATTATCCCTTTCAAAATAATTACAAAAAAAATAGTTACAATAAGAATTTAACTATGTGGGAAAAAATGGGAAGATAGTCTTAATAACGTGCTTTATGGCCCTGTTAACATTTCAGATGTGTCTATTGTTGCTTTTTGTGTGCTTTCTTTAAAATCAAGTTATTTTTAATGTCTCAACAAAAGTATATTGTAAAATCGTTAATTCATTTTAAAAAGAAATGAAACAAAACTCTGTCGAAGCCAATTTATATCTTGTGAGAGACTTGTATATCCTACTTTGTGATAAATACATTTTGCTAGTGGTGTACTTTTGGCCATAACAGTTCTTCTAACAGTCTAGTCATACTTTGTTACATAATGGTATTAAAACTTATCTGAGATAGTCTGTATAAAGTATGAATTATTCTTCTTAACTAGCAGTTAAAACGTCTAGACACATCTTTCAAAAATAGGAGTAAAACAGGTGAAGAAACACAAAATACAAATTTCCACCTTTTACAACTGGATACTTCTCTAAATGACAGAAAGAAGCTTCTTATATCTTTTTATTAGCCTAATATTTCAATTAAAAAATAGCAACATAACAATATACACTACTGTCTTAGTTTTTTGAGCTTAAGTCTTTTCTACACAGTAACAGTTAGCAGCAGGAAATGATTCTACTTGTGCCTGCTATCACTGCACTTCATTGTATGGTGTAAATATATCTGTAGATTTAAGAAGGAGATTTATTTAATGGAATTCTTTCTTTGTGGACTTGCACACAATACTAGAAAAATTCTCTTTGTCTCCTAACAGAGTGCGGGAGGTAGATTTGTTACAGTCTCAAAAATACCTGTTAGATTTAGTTTCAAGTTATCCATTAGATTTGTGATAGCAAGAGTACTGGTCTGAGGAAAAAAAATTAGGAATGAAAATGTAATGTAGTTTATTGTTTTTCTTAGCTAGTTAGGCTTTGAATCAGATAGTTTTTACTTAAAATGAAAAAAAATCAAATACTGAAGTAACACATGCTGTGAGGTTTGTTGATTATTTTTTTTATTCCTTTTTTTCCAGATCTGAACTCTTCTCCTCTCCTTTACACAAGTGAATGCACAAATTAATATTTTTATTAAGTATTTTAGGACTCAGAATATTCAGGGTCTCTTTAAGATCACTTGATGGAGAAATCTCAGTTGTCCAGACAGTGATTGTGGATTTTTGGAGACACCTAATTTTTTTGTAAATTTACAGAAAATTTTATTTGAAGTTGTTTAAATGTGAGAGGAACAAAATATATATTGACACTCAAATAACAGTATTCTTGCAGTATAACTTTTAATCCTAGAGACTTTATAAAAGATCTTTTTGGAATTCAGAAATATGTCTAAAGACATGCAAATACTGTATTTTACAGAAAATAACACTTCTGTAGATTATGTTGTTGTGTTGTCCACATACCTAAAAATACTTATTAGTTTGTACTTTTAAACATTCACATCACGTAGACATTTGCTGCCTCTGTTGTTGTTTCTTGGACTGTGAAAGTGTAGTCTATTATTTTATTGAGAGTCTATGCAGATTAAAATATGTTCTTTTATTAATCTGCTCAGGTATGTGTTTTATATTCTTTATTTGGTATATGGTCAGTTAGTCTCAGAAGCGGTCCATTAATAAGCATTCGTTTTATTCTGTATCCTGTAGACAGGTGGAAATTTTCTTTTGTTGGATGACATGCATGCTTATTGAGAGAGAACTAACAAACTTGGAAAAATGCCAAAGGAAAAAGCCTTCCAACACTGAGAATCATGTTGATGAAATGTGAACTCTGTGTCCAAATGTTAGCTTATTCTGACAGATTTACAAATGAGAAAGTAATTTAGAATCTTGAAGGTATTCTATTTTACATTAGGGTAGTGAAGTATGTTCAGTAACTGTTCGTGTTCACAGTGAAGAATTCACATAAAATTTTCATGGAGCTGAAGCTTACTCATCCATTTTAATATGAGATGTATTATTGCAGGATGGTGTGTGATTTACGACATTTGTCAGTTTTTTGGAAAGAAGTATGCCTTTGTGTATATCTTCTCTTCAGCTTCACTTTTTCATCCACACTTGCAGAACCCGAAGGATTGCAGCAAAGCTAAGAAACTTGTGTGTAATATCAACAAAGGCTGTGGCTATGGTTGTCAACTTCATCATGTAGTCTACTGCTTCATGATCGCTTACGGCACTCAGCGAACACTCATTTTAGAGTCTCAGAACTGGCGCTATGCTACTGGTGGCTGGGAGACTGTATTTAGGCCTGTGAGCGAGACATGCACTGACAGATCAGGTGCCACCACTGGACACTGGTCAGGTAAGACTTAACTCAAATAATTTCTCCTTGTTTTTCACAGTTTCATTCATGTAGAACTATGTTGATATCTCTTTCTTTAATGTTGAGTGTAATAACTATGACTGCAATTGAACATGTAAGCATCTATTAAATCTTGCTTTTGCATTGTATTGAAAAAATTATTAGCCTAGGATATCTCTGCTTTGACAGAGATTTTGTAATACAAAATTTTTGTATTTCAGATTTAAATTATAATCCTTCAGCAGTCTGCTGCTGTGTTATGTGCCAGATATGAATACAATTTTTATGAGAAGAGATTATTAAATAGAGGATGTTGTTGTTAAACTTTAAAACAGAAAAGCATGTTTCAAATATAAAGCAAAAGAAATACAAAGATAATGGTATCAGCTATTCACACCCCAACAAAATAATGAATTAAATGAAATAATTTTTAATATAAACTGAACTGACTTGAAATTCAGGTTGTAAAACCAGTGACAATGTTAAATTCCTTTTTATTTGTAGATCTGTAAGTTTATCCATTCTTGCACCAGTCTAAACAATTTTCCTAGAATAACTACATGGGCATTCATGTTTAGACGATCAGATAGCTTTGTTTGTCTCAAAGTAAACAGCATTCATTTTAATGGAATTCTTGCAGTCAGCATCTTGAAGAGTTATTAACATGGTTTTATAGTTTTTTCTATATATTTAAAACATTTTTCAGGTATTTGTCACAATTGAGCACATCTGGAGATGGCTGAAAGTATGCTAACTTTTTGCTCTCAATTTATAATAAGTACTAGGAAGAATTTTTTTAAAATAAATTTGTGCACAGATAATTTTTATGTGAACAATTGTCAGCGTTTTTAAAAGATAGATTTTGTTGATGACTCCTCTTAGGCATATTTACTTTTTCTAAGTCGGTAGCTAGTATTACAGTGGGAAATTATAAACGTTATAATAAATGCAAAGAAGACACAATTGATTGAAATTAATACAACTGACTGTTCTTACCCAAGACTAGGTAAATGTAGTGAGATATCTTCATTGATAAAATGAGATTCTTGGAAAAAAAACGTAGTTAAACGGGTTAGAGAGAGGTGGAACATTAATTTTTAATAAATTTTTGCATTATTGACAGTTACAGTTCACATCATAATTATTGGATGAGTAGATAAGTTAACAATGGTTAGTGAATGGACTAAGCTATAGACAAAAACAATTTAGAGTGGGAAACAGTAAGGGAGGTATTGTGCCACTTTTCAGGCTATAGCTTTTATTTATCAGCACTGAGGCAAATTTTAATTGTTAGCATGTGGCACATTAATCTTATCTCAGAAAGAAATTTTGACTCAGTAACTCTCTGCTTAAGGACAGATAAGAAGGGCTGCTACTTTTTATTATTTATGCTAGTTGTGCCTACAGACTCAAGAATTTCTTTCTGATATGTCCTGAAGGATGTATGTGGCAGCAACAGTTGTGACTTGGATTTCATTGGGACATTTAAAAAAATTATAGGGATTTTCAGTAGACAGTTGTGTAGACTACACTCCTCAGTAAGAGAAAGTGAGATGTTATTTTAGCATACAGTTTTCTCATTAGAACTACAGGAGCTGCAGCATGACTTTTGCAGACCAGTACTATCCCAGTGCCATAGAGATAATATACAGTTTGTCTGTTTGGATAGCGAGCACGGCTTTTCAATTCTGGTCTGTCAGAAACTGGCTTCCCCCCGCTGTCTTCATTCTTCCTTTTCCCTTGGATACCCTTGGTACATGGATTTTTGGATGGTGTGTAAAGTTAGGTGCAGGGAAGAATGGCCAAATCTCCAAGTCATCAGAGATTGTACCTTGTACCCTAGAGTCACAAGAAATACTCCCCTTCCTTCATTTCTGACAGGTACAGGGTTACACTGTGTTTCAGCAGAACTGTGAACTAGTCACTGGGCTTAGAAATCAGTGCTGAGCAGAAAAGAAAAACATAGATGTTCATTCCTTCATCTATCTTTCTGTCTTTGAAATGGTGGAACATGTAGCCACTTCATAGCTACTTCCAGAGAGGGGAATATTGTCTGTTCTGACAAGTGTCTCAGGTTTCAGTTGTCATTCCATAGTGATTGTGCCTTTCACAGTTTCTTATTTAAGTCCTCAAGCCTAGTATAGGTAGAACTAATAAGTTTCATCAGTTTCTAGTTAGATATAGTGGAAGTGTCTGTATCTTCAACAGTTGTACTACCTGGAATGATTGCTTTATAGTTGTTTTACTTCCTACTGAAAATTCTTGGGAGTTATTTTGTATGCTAGTGTTTGTTGGGTTTTTTTTGAGTGGTGTGTTGTTTTGTTTGTTTCATTTTTGTTCTTTTTTTTTCCAGTGAATCAGTAACATTTCTTATTCATGTTGGATCCAATAGTACTTGAAGATCTTTGTTTTTGGGCTGATTAGCAGTTTAGTGAGGAAGTGTGCCCTGGAGGATATATAGAGGAAGGAGAACTGCCTATGCAGTGGACAATTCAGCACAGGGCCTGTTTGAGTCCGTGATAACAAGAATTAAACTCCGCAGAAATTTCCTTGATCCAACACATTGTATATGTGTAAGTGTCAAAGAGATGTCATAGTTTCCACTGTTGTCTCCGTGGAAAAGGTTTTACACATATTTTTCTACTGCAAAATATTCCTCAAATGAGCTGTTTGTAGTGTCTTCGAAGGTTCAGGTACAATAACCTTGCTGAATTCAGAGGAAGGCAGAGCAGGGTAAAATGTTATAGGGACCTGTAGTTTAGGATAAAATGTAAAAACAGTACTTGCCTTTCCAAAGCAAGCACACATCTCTAGGTCAGTAAGCTAGTCTTCTGTCTTTTCTGGATGGTAAAGAACATTTCCAAGTCCTTATTTTAGATACCACACCAAGAACAATGCTGATTAAAAGCAAAACCTTTTCATCATGAATATAGCCAAACAAGTTGCCTGGAGAGGGTGTGCAGCCTCCTTGGAGGCTTTCAAGGCGTGTCTGGCTGAAGCCCTGAGCAACTGGTTCTAATCTCATGGCTGGGCCTGCTTTGAGCAGAAGTTTGGAGTAGATGTCCTCCTGACCTATGAACTGCGTGATCTTGACAAACTTAGTAAATGAGTTCAACTGTGGGAAGTGTTGATTATGGCTAATAACAACCTGGTCTTTTATCCTAATGAACTGTTGCCGTCCAGAACCAGCTGCTTTACAAGAGGATGAAAGTACAAGAACAGCAGGCAAGTAAGGGGTAAGCAGTGTCAGAGAAATTCCTACAGAGGGTCAGTTCCTCCTATTTTGATTACACACATGAATCCTTATAAATGCAGGTGAATCTTACATTAGTCGGAACATATCAAAATTTTCAGTCTTCTTAATGGGACACTGCATACACAGTGCATATGGAATCTTAGAGAATTTAACTATTAAAGTCTTAGAGATCTCAAATTAACTTTTTAAGATGTAAAAAATCCAATTTACTGATTGGTGTGTAAACATACTTGAGTATCTGCACATTGAAACAACATTTGCACATTGAAATAACATCTGTTCTCCAAAGCTTCAAGATGCTACCAAACTTTTATTTGAAAATTCTAGTAGTTTTTGTGAATGAGAATTTTTTCCAAAAATTTATTTTTAGAAATGGTTCAATGTTTTCTAAAGATAAGTAGAAATGGAAAACTGACTTTGAAAACTTGAGCTGAAGTTTTATTAATGTTTGGCAAAGTCAGCAACTGAAACCGCCATCTGGGCATGGTTCTGGGCAGGGTGCTCTGGGTGACCCCAGGATTTAGTTGCAGGCAGTTCTGTGAGCCTTGCTTTTAACATAATAAGCTGTAAACCGGTGTTCTAGAGCACTTTTGCACGCATGGCTTAAAAAGACTATATATTGTAATGAGAAACTGTTAAAATAGATCATGATTTTCTGCAGTATGGGATCTTGCTGATGAAAGTACAAATAATGTTTCCTTTTAGCTCCCTACAGTTTTTATTTTTTAAATTATTTTCTGGATCAGGATGAAAAGTTTGAAGGCTAAATGCATGAAATATCTTGATGCGATCAAATTTTTAAAAATTAATGAATGCCACTAATTTGAGTTTTGATGTTCTAGAGATAGAAGACATTCAGCTATGAAAGACAGTCTTTCTATTTTTAGCCTACTGCCTAGCTACTCACACTACAAACTGTTAAATTCTAATCTTCTGCAATGGCTTGATCACCGAGGAAGAATGATACTGACAATTGCTCTCTTTCACTAATTCAAAGTGGCTTCAGTAGGAAACTTCACTGGATACTTAAATGCTAGTAAATTTGAAAGACTTTCTATCTTGCTGAAGATTTCTATGTGTTTTTATGTCTTTCTAAATTTATATAGATTTTTATTTTATTTATTTATTTTTATTCCCTGTACCTTTACAGGTACAAATAAGTATGAAATTCATAACCGTAATTAAAAACAGTTTGTCTGCAAAACCACACCTTTAATTTTTTTTTTTTTTTCCCTCTACAACTTTTGGAATTGTCATGGGCTTTTCTAGATTTTCCAAATAAATGTATAACAATTCATTGACATTTATAAATTTCCATTTCTCATAAACAAAATGTTTCTCCTACATAGTGTACTTACTATGCTGTGTATATGGGCTTTAAATTAAAATTTTTATTTAATAATGTATCAAAAATATTCATACAAGTGAATACTTATAATGAAATAACAGTGTAAATTACAGAAATAGGCCAAAAAGAAAATTATATCCTCTTAAGGAATTATTTTCATGTAATTTGCAGACCTGCATAGTAAATAATACAGTAAATTGTGCTTCATGACAAAATTGTTTAAATCTGTACATTTATCTTCCTTATTTTTCATTAAATTGATTCTGAGTGACACTTTCAGTTGTATTAGCAACATAAAGTTTTGAAATTTCTGAAGTCTATCTTCAGCAGAACGTTTTAGATAGTAATATCTTCTACAAATAATCAAGAGGTTTGTATGAGCTGAAAATATATATA